CGCTGCCCGAGGCCGTGCTCGCCCTGTACAACAGCACCCGCGACCGGGTGGCCGGGGAGAGTGCAGAGCCGGAGCCCGAACCGGAGGCCGACTACTACGCCAAGGAGGTCACCCGCGTGCTAATGGTGGAAACCCACAACGGTGAGCTCGGAGGGGCAGGAGAGCCGGGAGGGGGGCCCCCAGGGGGCGCCGGAGTGCCGGGGCCACGGGTAGGAAGTGACTGGCAGAGGAAACTGGCTGGAGGAAGAGGACCCCCGGGGCAAAGGGAACGTGGGATGGTGGGAGGGGGGTGTCCGAAAGAGGATGGCACTGAGTCCCCTACCCCCCAGGTATCTGGTCTTGGAGAGGAGGAGATAGCGAAGTGGACCGCTTCTAGAGGGCGACAGAAACATGCGGGGTCGTGGGGGTAGTGCCCTAGAGGCATAGAAGCAATAGGGGGACGGTGGAAGGCTCCCTCCTCCAGGACGCGTTGAATTGGGGAGGGGGTCGTGGGGTAAGAGAAGGGGGAGAGGGGAGCCCAGTGTGGGAGAAGCAAAGACCTCAGCATTTGGGAAAGGAGAGGCACTGGGGCAAGTTGACCCAGAGCTTGGGGGTCCTGAGGTGGAAAGATTCAAGGACAGAAAAGCTGGATGAAGGCAACCCTAGGGGGTGCGAGGAAAGTGAGAGCGGACCCACTTCCAGAGGCTGCGAGGAACACGCGGGATGCGGGGGTAGGGGAGAGTCGTAGAAAGGGAAACAGAGGTGGGTGTGATAAATGTGGGGAGAAAGGGACGGGAGGTTATTGGAAGGAGGAGGCAAGCGGGAGAGGAGCGGAGACCCAGGAGTGTGCCCGGGATGCAGAGGTGTCCTCGGTGTTTCACACGGGGATGTGAGGGACAGAGTGGGGAGCCCAGAGGAGAAATTGAGCTTCCAGAAGACCTAGAATCCTGGGTCATGGGAAGAGCTTTACCGAGAGGGGAGACAAGCGTGGGAAAGGTGGTGTGAGCTGGGCGGAGGAGAGATACCCAGCGCCATCCACGCCGCGAGCACTGAGCGCCCCCCGCCCGTCCCGCCACTCGCCGCAGGATGCAGGGGAATGGGCTGAGCGGAGTCCAGCCGCAGGGGAAGTGCTGGGTGGGGAGTGACTCTACAAGACCCAGGTGAGAAAACCAAGCTGGGAGGAGTGAGAAAGCCCCACGTGGGTGCCACGCGCGGGGGGAGGAGCCTGCGCTAACACCAAGGGGCAGGAGGACCCCGCTGCGCTAAATGCTGGCAGTCTGGACCCCAAAGCCCCAGTTCCTCTCGAGGTGGCTGGGGAAACCCCAGCGTCCGGCCGCCTCACTCTCCTCCCTTCCCTTTCCTTCCCATGCCCCCGGCGGGGGCGGGGATCGCGCGCGGAGCCCGGGGCGAGACGGGGCAGGTCTGGTCCCCGCCCTCCTGGCTGCGGCGCCTCCCGCCCTCCTCACCCCAGCTACGGGCGGGGCTCCCACTGAGCCGGCCCCGTCCATCCATGCGACGACCCAGGCGTCCTGCGTGGTTCAGAGCTTTGGGGAAGATCCCTTAGGTTTCACTGACTTTGGGGCGGTGTGGGCTTGCGGGTCGCCGGCCCATTCTTGCGCCAGTTTACGGCTCCAGCCCAATGGCACACACACTGCACCCGAGTCTCAGCCTTGCCTTATCTTCCGTGCTTCGCCTTCGTTGTAGAGGCTCCTTTAACACTGGCACCTCCAATCCTCTTCTCCCCAACAAATGCACATGTGTCTCTTCGCACGTGTGTCCCCATCTGCCTCTTTCTTTTCGTCTCCGTTAGTCTCTCTGTCCACGCATGGGTCTCCTGGTGTTTGTCTCTGCGACTATTTTCTCTGCCTTTCTATTTTTCTCCTCCACGGTCCTCTCTGTCTCTAGCATCTGACCGCCTCTCCCTCTCCGCAGCACCCTCCAACCCTTCCTTTCCCTCCTCTTTCTCTTCCTCCCTATCTGTCTTCCCCAGCCAAGGCTCTGCCTTTCCTTTGGGGTTTGCTGAGTAACCTCCGGGCCAAGAATAGGGCTTATTGGCGCTGGGTGGGGAGGGAGACTGGGGAAGAGGAGGAGGATCTAAGGGCGCCCTAGGAAGCGGTTTCCTCTTTCTCACCAGTCTCTTTTCACACCCCCACTATAGGAGGCTAGAAGCAGTTGCCCCAGTTGATCCAGGAGTTCATGGCCCATTCCCTCATCCCCAACCCCAAACTTTTCCTAAACTAGAAAATAACTTGGCTGGGCGCCGTGGCTCACGCCTGTAATCCCAGCACTTTGAGAGGCCAAGGCGGGTGGATCACCTGAGGTCAGGAGTTCGAGACCAGCCTGGCCAACATGGGGAAACCCCGTCTCTACTAAAAATACAAAGATTAGCTGGGCGGGGTGGCGGGCGGCGCCTGTAATCCCAGCTACTTGGGAGTCTGAGACAGGAGAATCACTTGAACCTGGGAAGCGGAGGTTGCCATGAGCAGAGATTGTGCCACTGCACTCCAGCCTGGGAGACAGAGACTCCGTCTCAAAAAAGAAAAGAAAAGAAAACACCTTAATTCCTTTTGTCCCCACTACAGCCGTTCCTACCCAGAATGAACTTCACCTTCCCTAACCAGCTGGGGAAGGGAGTTAAGGG